GTCCCAGGTCGTATGAAATTTAAAATGCTCAAAACAATTCGGCATCTTTATTTCCCCCAGCACTATCACACCCCAGTTATGCTAGAACTGCAACCTTAAGTCATTTCTCTTAACCTACAGAAATCCAGTTCTTCAAATTCTGTCAATTCTTTCTTTCTGGTATTTTTCCTTCCTTCTCCCTACACTAATACCAAGTCAAACCTTCACCAGCTCACCCTTGGATTAGCACATTTGCTTCCTGAATGAAAAAATGCTTTCCTTATTCTACTGTCTAACTGCTAACAATTCACTCCACCACAGCTAAATAGGTGCCAGGCACTGTTCTTGGAGCTTTACCTGTATTAACTCAGTTAATATTCCTAACAACTCTGTGAAGATAGCTACTATTTTTAGTCCTACTTTACAGATTAAGAAACAGAAGCACAGAGAGGTTAAGTAATTTACCCAAGATCCCCCAGCTAATAAGTGGCAATGACTGGATTTGAAGTTATGCAGTTTGGCTCAGATAATAGTATGTAAATATGAGCTCCTCCAGGAGTGCATGGTGATTAATAAAAACCAGTTTTCTTTCCCTGAACTGTATAGCCCTTTGGAGCAAGTCAAATCCCCACTTCTGGGTATCTTTTCATGCCACCCCACATCTGGGAGGCCAGTTCTCTTCTCTAATTCATATTCCATATCTCCTTCAAAAATCAAGTCTAACTTCAACATCTCTGAGTTTTCCTTAAGCCAGTTTCCTTAAGACTCCTCAGCACATCCTTATTCTCACGGACTCAATTTAAACTACATTAATGTGCACTTGTTGACATTTTTTTTTATGTCACAGAAGTTTGCCTCACAATTTTACATTTTATTGTCCTACCTAGATAATGTAATGCCTACACTTTTTTTGGTCTATGTCCTTCTCCATTTCCCACCTTCCTAAAAGATCCTAGAATAGCAGACTGCACAAAGTAGATACTAAATAAATATGCAATTAACTGATAAATCTGAGATACATATGGCTCAACTATTTAAGAAAGTCATTCATTCATCTTTTGAACTGACATTTAAATGTCTGTCTTCTCATTTTATTCCCTAAACGCAAAAGCATTAGATTTCTAGTTGCAACATCCTCATCCAAAAAAATATATTCAAATGATACCCAAAAGTAATCTTAATAAATGATTTAAAAAAAAGGGTATCCCACACGCTGTCCAGAAATAACCTTTTTTTCCCCAAGAGGCTCTAATAGTGTTACTTTACTCTCTTATGGCCAGAGTTATATCCAAGTCTTCCACAACACTAAGCAGGCAGTGACATTCCAGGCATGATTTCCAATTGTTCAAGCACAGAAAAAACTTTCTGCCTTTAATAAGAGATTACACTCAATGGTCCCCTTCAAATCTAAAAATGTGAAAGCAACCGTTTTTGCATTTAAGGTTGAAATCTTTATCTTCCTATTCCAAGAGAATTATTTTAAAACTCAAAGAAAAAGAGGGCGCCTGGGTGGCTCAGTTGGCTAAGCGACTGCCTTCGGCTCAGGTCATGATCCTGGAGTCCCAGGATCGAGTCCCACATCGGGCTCCCTGCTCAGCGGGGAGTCTGCTTCTCCCTCTGACCCTCCCCCCCATGCTCTCTATCTCATTCTCTCTCTCAAATAAATAAATAAAATCTTAAAAAAAAAAAACTCAAAGAAAAAGAGACACTAAAGGACAATCTAAAAGACAGAAAGTTCAATTTATATTTAAATTGTTAATGAAAACAGGTAAAAATAAAACTCCTTATAGGTATGCCTCACTATATGCAACAAACAAGTCTCATCATCTAATCAAATTGTTTTCCAAATCCATTATAAACCATGACCACTTAAAGGAACACTACAGGAACTGTTCTAAAAAGCACACAATACTCACAGTTATAACCTTGTCTCTAATTTTTGTTTTCCAAGTTGATACTTCATATATGGCTTATCTCTAAAGGACTCCTTTACTACTTAGCTTTTACCTTAAATGAGCCACTTAACCGCAGACCATATTTATCCTAAAATATTATATTTTTCTTTACATGCCTACTGACTCTGCAGTTACTCTCATTCATCACTACAGCTTGGCAGGAGCAAATGTCCAACATGGTTCAAACAACAGTACTAAATTTGAACAAGTATGTATTACTAGACATTATATTTATTACGAATTTTAATACTGATAAGTCCACACTATGAACCACACCCTACTCATTACCTTAAAATACCTTAAGTGAAAAGAACAAACCTAGTTTACCCTCTATTTAAAATTAGCATTCCTACCTATATTACAGTTCTTTGATAACATTTTGGTTTTCTTTCTTGATTTCTTTCAAATGTTACAAATAATGCCACAATAATTTGAAAAGCTTATTCCATGTTTAATAGGGTGAGCAGGTATTTACTAATATTACCATGGATTTTCTTTAATTACTTGAGAATTGGATGCAGTTATAAAAGAGAAACACCAGGGATCCTTGTGGTAATGGAAGTTTTTGTATCCTCACTGTATCACTGTCAGTAACCTAGTTCTAATATTGCACTACAGTTTTGCAAGATGCTACTATTGGGAAAAACTGGCTAAAGTGTACATGGGATCTCTGTATTGTTTCTTACAACCACATATGAAACTACCAATTATTTCAAACAAAAAGTCTAATTAAAAAAACTTAATTTAATGAGAATTCATCTTTTCTGGCTCTATATCAATACTTTCAAAAAGTATAAAGCCTGTACAAATGAAAAATTTCCCCCAAAAACGTAATCAGTAACTGAAGAATGAAAATCTGTATTCCTTTTAAAAATTAAAAGCGGGAAAATAGTTCTTACAATTACTTCCAGAAATCTTAGGCAAGAAGAAATTATATTACAAAAATCTGCTTTGAATAACAAAAAGTAAAGCTTTACCTGCTAAGTAAAATAACTTTCTGAAAATATCAAAGATAGATTGAATATATAGAAAGAGCTTACAAAATGAATATACCCATTCCATTTCAGTATCTCTTACTGCTTGGATTCAAAAACTAATAAAGGAAATTTTTTGGATATCATGTAAACATTCAAACTACTACTAAAAATGGAATCCAATACCACAATTTAGTTCTACACACTCAGACCTCTGAAGTTGGAGGGAATAGTGGATTTAAACACCTGAACTACTTCCATTTTATCAATCCTTTCAACAAGTTTTCTCCTGATACACTCGCCTAACATAACACAGTACCTCACTTTTAACTCCTACAGAGAGAAACACCTCTCAAGGTCACTGTAAGAACATCGCAGTCTCTATCATACAAAAGGGACAAATTCAGTCTTATGATAATGCAAGAAAATTAACACCTTGATGAAGAAATAGCATTATAACAGATTTCTCCAGACAAATAAGTAATAGAAATACATCCTCATCTTTGCCAATGACTTTTGAAGAAGTGTGAGCTATCATACAAGTTGTTTTAGGAATAAAACTTTAAAAAAACATTTTTTTTAAACTATAAGATACATGCTTTCAGCTAAAAAAATTCTAAATCTGTTCTATTATTACTCAAAAAAAGCCCAATGTGAAATTAAATCATCCTCCAAAAGAACATACGAAAGGAAATTATACTGCACAACTACATCTTTCATGAGGCAAAGGCTTGGGGTCTTACAATGTTACTCCAAAATACAAGAAAACTCTAATCTCTAAGTCAGCTCTTCCGAAAGAAGTATCTTTAGCTCTCTTTAGCTCCTTATATTGCTGCAAATAAACAGAAATTAGGACATATTATGTATCCTCTGAAATCAGAATAGAAGATTATTCAGATGTCAATAAAGTATATAAATAATATTACTATACCAGTTTTTTCTAGACATTTCCTTTAAGATAAAAAAACTGACTATAGAAAAACCACATCTACCAATATACTGATATAACATAATCACTTATGCCATTATGCTTTCCCCAAAATTTAAATCCATTCACTAATTATTAAAGGTCACAGCTTTTTTTTTTCTGGAATTTAAAACAAACCACAGAGATAAATATTACTATGTCCAGTGAACACATATGTTTAAATTCAAACTTTCAATGGACAAGTAACAAATCTAACAGTTTTTAAAATTAAAAATTTCCTACTCCAAAGAATCAAACACCATATAATTTCTGCAATATAAACAAATAATTTTTTCCTTTGCATAATGCAAGTGATACAAAGGCCCACAAATGTTCCAATGCCATGCTTACAATGATACATACCAAGTTCACACATACTTTTTAGTTTTACACACTACATAAATCATACATTAATTTTAAAAAGTGAAAAAAATATAATTGCCTTTATTCTAAAAACAGAAAAGTATTTCTAATAGCAAGTTTCTGAAGTTCATGTCCTTGATATCAATGAGTATCAGTTAAATATATTTTCCACAATTCAAGCTTGAACAGCCTAAAACAACAAAGTCACTACTCATTTAAAGAAATATACTAAGCATCTACTATGTATCAAACTAAATTTGAAAGTACTGGAAATGAATTATTAGTTGCAAAAATTGAGATATACTCAAAACAGTAGTTAAGAAAGGAATGCAGCCTTCTATATTAATAATTTTTTCTACCCTCCCCAAAAAAGTGACAATTTTCAAATGATTACCAGTAAATGGGAAGGAGGTAAGAGTAGAGTCGGGGTTTGGCTAACATTTTATGATATCCTTTTGAATAAGGGTAATATTGGCCTTTAGCGTATTTAAAACCTAGAATGCTTTTATTTTGCTTATTTGAGGTGTTAAACATGCTATATTTTACCCATAAGCTGTAATTTTATCATGAAAAATAAATTTTAATAAATTTAGTGAACTATTTTTAAATGGAAACATTTTTTAAATATAAAGTGGTGTAAGATGTTATCAGTTATGACATTTCCTTCTTTCCTGATGTTTTGTTCTTATAGTATCTTAAGAAATCAACTATCATTTTACTAGGGAAAATAAAAGCACAGGTCAAAGAGGGAATTACTAAATTTCAGCCCAGGGATTTGACAGCTGGTTTTAAGATGATGCTATCCACGGCTTTTTTTTTTTCATCTTTGAGAACTAAGGAATAAGTTTAACTTAAAAAGAAAATTGTAGGTTTTGAACACTGGAATGGACCTTGCTTCTGGACTGTTCATTTTTGAAATCATGAGTTTAAATAAGTGAGAAAAGCAAAAAACACATACTTAAGAAATATGGGATAAATGTTAATAATGGAGCGGAGTAGTTATAAATATACAAAAAGTAAATTTAAAGACCACAGCACCAGTGTAGAAATAGTTATCTAATTTAACTTATTCTAAACATTATCCTAATGTCATCTAATAGATGTCATTTGAAAATAAATCTTTCTATTCATTTATTTGTAACATCCATTCCTTTACATTTTAAACAACTGTCCCCAAAACTGTTAATCTGCTGCAGACTTCCAAGGGAACGGCAATCTAAAATAAGTCTTACTAATTATTTCTTGACTCAATTCCACTTTTCATATACATATATTAAATAACATTATTTCACCAATTTTTTAGGACCCAAATGTAAATAATGCTAATAGGCTGAAATTTCAGCAAAATTTAAAAATACACATATGTAAATAAACATTAAAAAAAAAAAGACCACACATGGACCACCAAGTGTTTTCTTCTGGTACTTGTCCAAACATACAGGCAGGATATAATCCCTTGTACTCAAGTCAAATTGAACTTAAAAATTCATAGAAAACAGAAAAAAATTACATCAATATTTAAATTCTCAGAAATATCAATGGATCCTGAAAGCAACAGCCTTCATTTGAGGCTTGTTTTTGCTTCTAATTTGAACTGGACACTACAGAATGACATGAAGATATTAAAATACTTCATATTTTTCTACTAAAATGTATCACAACACCAAAATACGAGTTTCTGATTTTATATATCATCTTACCTGATCCACTGAACTGACTGCTTCCCAGTGTCGTTGGTCTGGTTTTCCCACTATTAACAGGTGGAGAAAACATCTACGAAATAACCCAAATGTATCTGTTAGTCCTGAAATTCTTCTAGACTCCTTGCAAACAAAAGTCCACCAAGAGTCATCAGTTACTGTATTTCATAAAGAAGTTAAGATAAAAGATATACATTCAGACCCAGAAAAGCAAATACACTGAGTGATACTATTTCCTAATGCTACTTGGAAATACTGGTTATATTCTGTTCTCAAAACCCAGTCACTTACACGAGAAAGTCTAAGATTATTGTTTAAATTGTAAATTTTTGTCCATGATCTTCACTTTCTAACAGAAATCTCATTACATTTACATTACCATTCAATACACACAATCAGAATCACATCCAATGGAACTACTACATAGAGTAAGGATCCATTACAACCCAGTTTTATAAAGTAGGTATTGGTCCTGACTCCTAACAACAGTTAAAAAAGGAATTCAACCCTTTAGAGATAAAGGCAGTAGGTCTTCGGTTTCGGCTACTTTTAAGTCATTCAATTATTCCCCATGGTAAAAGATTTATAAATATACACATACGTACTTACGTATACACATACGTATATATACACATATACACACAAAAATATACATGTATTTAAAAGTGTTCAGCCAAAAAGGCTGGAAATTCTAGCCTTTAACTGGCTTTCTCATAACTGACATCTTTCGGATATTATAAATTCTATCACATCTTAGGGAAGGAAATGGAGTGCAGAAAAAATAATTTTCTTTTCTTACAAAGTTCAAAATCCCTAACAATCATCAGGGTCAGAGGGTGACTCAACCAAAGCTCATGGTTACATTGTTCTCCTTTTAACTGGCTAAATCAAATGACCCCTCTGGCATTAAAGTTTTAAATCTGCAAGTCTAGACATTACATCAAAGTTCAGGTGTCCAACTTGGGGGAGCTGGACTCCAGCCCTGAGAACTACTGCTCAAAGCAGATGGAGTTCACGCTGCCTAGTCTCCACGTCGCTTTCCCCCCTCCCTTTCTTTTTCTTTCTTTCTTTTTTCTTTTTTTTTGTTTTTTTGTAAACCTCAGCAGAACCCCAAAATGCCGCGGAAGGCTCTCATACCGCACTGAAGTCCAGCAGGTCGCTCAGCTCCTTGTCGGTCCCTATAGCAGCCATGCGCTGCTGCTGGGGATTCATCTTCAGCCACTTCTAGCGGGTCCTAAAAGCAGAGGAAACAGGCTCAGAGAGACCACCGAGGCCCAAAGTGTGTGAGGGGATGAAGAGGGGCGTAGGGCAGGAGCGAGAGCCGTGGGCTGACTTCCATTACCCCAATCGTTCCCACCGCCGCGCGGGCAGGGGGCAGGAGAGCCCAGCACCGCGCCGGGTCGGTGAATCCACGCGTTCCTCGGTGCGGCCCGGGAGCGTCGCGGAGGCTGCCGCAACTCGCCGCCTCTCCCGCAAGTTTCCGAGCCCAACCCTGCCCCCTCCCCGGCACCCCCACCCCGCGCGGCCGCCGGGTGCTCGGCGCGGCGCCCGGCCGGGCGGGGGTCTCGAGGGGCGGGGTGAGGGGCGACTGGGCGTCCAGCGAGCGGAGCGGCGACTAGGGGAGATGCGAAGTGACTCACAGGCTCGGCAACAATAGAACTGACAAGTTGCAGGGAACGCGCCGCTCGCAGGCCCGCGTCTGCTGCCGCCGCCGCCCGGACGTCCCCAGCGGGCCCCGGGGGTCGGAAAGCAACCCCCGCGCGTCCGAGGGGTGTTTTTAAAAAGAAAATACAAACCCCGACAACTAGTCTCGCTCTTGCCGGGCGTCCTCCTCCCCGGACTCGGCCTCCTCCCACTTTTGCTGCCCTGCCTGCGGCCGGCCAGCCCCAGACCTGCCGAACAATGAGCCCGGCGAGGCGGCCGAAGCAGCCTGCTCTCCCGCGCGCCCCAGAGCCGGAGCCGAGTGGCGAGCGGGGCGCGCAGGCCGAGCGCGCCGCCCGCGGGCCTTAGCCGCCCGCGACTCTCGCCTCCGCCCCCACTCCGCTCCCCAAGTTGGAGGGAACCCCGGGCTCGCCTCTCTGTACAAAGGGGCGCGGAGTTGGGGCGCCGGGCGGGGGACGCCTCCGCTCCGGCAGGGACGCGGCGGCGCCCCTCAGCCCCCAGCCCCGCCACGGCGTACCCCTCCCGCTCGCCTCTCCGCAATTACCTGCCGCCCCGTCTCCGCATCCAACCACCCCGATTAAAGTTCACTTTGGCCGGGAGAGCGGGCTCGGGCTTCCCCTTGCACCTCCCGGCGGCTCGGCTCACTTTGCCCCGCGCGAGCTCTCGGATCCGGGCAGGGGAGGCGGCTCTCGGGCCTGGCCGCCCCTTTCTCCCGGGGCGGGCTGGCGGTCCCCCCGAATAGAACTTGTGGGTCTCCTCAGGCGGACATTTTTTTCGCTGAGGCGGCCTCAGCACCGCGCTCGGCTCGGCTCCGGATCCCTCCGCGCCGGGAAGAGCCCCGGGTTAACCCTTTCCTCTCCGGCTCGCTCCCGCCGCCTGCGCCGAGGAAGTGGGGCCAGCGGAGGGGGTGGGGAGGAGCCGGCGGGAACGGGGAGGGGCCGCCGCGCGGCCGGTGGACAAAGCCCGCGGTGGGGTGAGGCGGGACGGAGTCACGGCCGCCGGGGAGGGGCGGGAGACGCGCGCAGCCACCCCGCGAAGTAGGGCCGGGCCGCCCGCCGAGAGCGTCTAGTCCGTGCCCCCGGGAGCAGGGCGGCAGGCACCGTGGCGCCTCCTCCGGTTTGTCCCGCTCCTGCCTCGGGCGGCGGAGCGGCGCGGGGGAGACGCAGCTGCGGGCGCATCTGGATCCGCTGCCCAGGCCACCCAGCCCGAGGCCGCAGAGCCCTGGAAGCTGCAGTTCCCGACCAAGCCGCGCTGGACGCCGTACGCAGTGCTCGGCCGAGCCCGGACGTTCCAGCCCGGGAGGCTGCGCCGCGCTAAGCGCGGAAGATGCGTGCGTGGGTAAGGGAGACCGAGCCACCTCTGTCCGCGCTTGGAGTTGGTGCAGCTGGTCGAATTCGTTGCTGAGCAGAATGCAGGGAAAGGGTGAAAACTCCCTCAAACTATACAAAGCCGTGTGGGCTTCAGGTACCCAAACACTCCACTCACACAAGCCCCCAAGTCTACAATCACCTCTTCCCACGCGAATCCTGTTCAGGGCCACGGAATTGGACAGCGAGACGCGTTCTTGGAAACGGATCAAGCCAGTGCCATCATTTTGCAGAGATGGCCCGGGGAGGTTTGGTCGCACAGCCACTATCTTGGCGCAAGCTCTGAACTTAGCCCGAAGAAGCCCCAAACAGAGTAAAAAGAGGACAAAATAACTAAACTTCAGTTTGGAAATGGAAGTAAGATTTTCTCCAGTGGCAGCCAGTGTTTAAGTCTTTTGGCTCAGTGAGTGCAGTAAAGACCAGTAAGGGCCAGGCAGAAGAAACACTGAAGAAGGAAGGCACATCCAAGGTAACAAATTGAAGCTGCCAATGCCTTGAGGGCAACAACATGGCAAGGAGTCATTGAAGCCCAGACTTGCGTGGAAACACGGAGGTAGATTTAGCTGCAAATATGCAGTTGCTGTGCTTTGTTACAACCCAAGCTGTCCAGAGGGAGAAGGCAATTGTTGCTTGGGGCCGGGGGTTTCCATGACTTGTCAATGGCCACACCCTGGACCTTGTGCCATATCCTGTGGTAGTTTCTCCATTATCCACTCTCCCTTATCTAGGTTAACAACCCTTGTTTTTAGCCGTCACATCCCTGCCCTGGCTGTGTACTGGAGCATGTGGTTCCAATATAAACAAATTAGCATAATTCCAACCTAAATAAAGCAACATAGTCCCATCCCTGCCACAGTTACTAGTTGGCAATGGGCATGACACAATTTGGGACAATAAGAGGAGCAATTTACTGTGGCCTTTTGGGGACGTTTTTGTTTGTCTGTTTCACATATTCCAAAACAACTTCAGCAGCGACCTCCTCTTTCTGCATGTCCTCCAAAAATCAGGGAGCATAACAGCAACAACAAAAATTGAAAGAATATCACCAGCATGTTGTATGGAAAAAAAATTAAGGAGCCCCTCAGTCGTCTTCCAAGCGCAAGGTCCAGCTAGGTTAAATAAAGCAGGCACGGAGAAAGCAAAGAAATATCTTTGATGATGTTTTTGAGGCTCTCTGATCAAACGGCTTCGGAACCCAGGTCTACCTTCTTTGATGAAACCAACAGGATTCGAGTTTTCTGCTATTTGTAATCTAGTGTGTTCTAAATAATATAGGCCCAATGGCCATTTTCTGTAGCAAAGACCCAAACATCAGATGGGAAGTCTGACACTAGAACTTTTAAGGCCCATTCTAGGGGTAAGATTCTATCACTCAGTGGTAAACCCAAAGAGAAATATTGGAGAAAGGAGAATGTAATCCCATCTGAGGGATTTATGCTCTTTTCAAAAAAAAAGGGAGGGGAGGGAGGAGAGAACTTGCTTCTCCTCTTTCTCATATAACTAATTCAGAGGAAGAAATAGCTATCTGCCCAAACCCTCAGTTATGAGGGCTCCTTCACTCCTTTGACGGACTGACTGGTGAAGTTTTTCACATCTATTATGGCCCATACTGTTTTATACTTTATTTTCTCCTTAGATTATGTACTCCTTGAGCAATAGGATTGCCATGCATCGGTCTGTACCATGCACCTAACATGAGACTGAGTACATAGTAGACACTCAAAAAAGGGAGGCTGGAATTAAATCTATCAATCATTTGACATTATAACATGAGACATTATAACATGAATTAGTTTTTCATGCTGTTATATAGTCTTTGCATGTATCATTTTTAATACAGAAACATTATTCCCACCAATGGATTTCCTATAATACTCCCAATATATATGGAAGACAAAAAGTATAAAAACCACAGTTTTGTGTCACTTATAACTAATTTCTGGGCCTTTGCTGACCTTGCTAGATAGAGCCAGAAGGCTTTATTAAAAAGTTCAGGGAAAAACAACTAGTAATACAAATTCAGTGATTAAATTTAGAGTACTATATCTATAGTGTAAATTAATCAGTATCAATCAATATTGAAATATAATGAACATTTCTTACATGCAGGGTTGGTGCTGAATGCTGTGAGGAACAGAAAATCTGAAACCCATCCTGCCTCAAGAATGTTATAATCTGATATATTTTATGTCCCTGTCCATTCACCTTAGCCTGCCACTGGGCAGACATAATAATTCTGTCAACAAAGTTTCAGTTCCCACTTTCTAAGAGCCCCCACTCTACACTCAAAAACACATACACACATTTTATGAGGGAGACCTCAGTTGCCCAGAGAAACCTTTACAGTCAAAAAGAAAAGTAATCAAGGCAATGGGCTTTGCTTCCTTGGGAGATTGACTTGAACTTGGCCTCTGATTTAGGAGGAAATATTCCAGAAAGTTCATGGAAGAGGAGGAGGAAAGAGAATAGAGCTAATCAAGTCAAGTGGCAAGTTGCTTTCTAGATGGAGTGAGTGGCCTCCTAGCATTCTCCAACTAGAACCAAGTCTGATGGGTAATGGACTCTCCACAGGAGAGCAGCTAGGAGTTCTTGCTTTCTTTTCCACAGCTATCCCTTTGGGACTAAAGGGAACAGTTTTATGTAACAATTAGTTTTATAAATGTTACCTTCAGTTCATGGCACTTCCATTGCTGATTAACTAAAAGCCAAGATTTTCCACTCTATTATAAGCCACATTCTACTACTCATCAAAGGTCCACTCTCATTCTCTTTTATCAGCTAGCTAGGAAGAACTCCTTGCAGGATTTCCTGGGTACAGATTTTGCCTTTTCTCTGTGTTCATAGGTAAAAAGAGTGCTCTATTCCTTGTTAATGAAATTCATAATTTAAGCCATTAAATGGCTTGTGTGAATGCTATTTTCAGACTTGAGGAGTTATCCCCTAATGGCCCATCTTATATTCAATGTCTTTTTCCCCTTTCGGATTCCTTCTTTCATATTTCATAAAAGTGTGCATTTATACCAAAATCAAGACAAATTCAGAGTCGGAAAAGGAAAAAAATACTGCCAAACACTCTAAAACATCAAACCTAGATAGCCATAGATTTTAATTTTTTAAAATTCAGTATAGTAGACCAAGTAAAATAAATAATCTCTTTTCCATATTCCTGTGTGTATCTTGGCACAATGCCTAGTACATAGTGGATGCTCAATAAATATTTATTGAAAAATGAATGGTTCTGTACTTCTAGGTAGAGATGGCAGTTTAGCACATGCTCTGAAGTTTGTTCCATCCTAATATCACACTAAGAAATCAGTAAAGGGATTTTTTAAAAATATTTTTATTATAGAAAGTCTCGAACCTATTTTTAAAAAAAGTAGACAGAGTAGTGTTAAGAACCTCCATGTACTTAATCACCCATCTTTAATAATTATGGATTCTTCTATCTTTCCTCCTGCTTTTCCACCCCCATGTTAAGTTAAAGGAAATCATGTCATGTCATAAAATGACTTTTTAAGGATTAAAATCATGGGAAGCCAAAGAAGAGACAATGGCAACAAAATTCGAGAAGTCTTTTAGCTGGAAAAACAGAAGAGTGATAAAAGATGTAGTAGACTCTCAAAACTGCATCTTAAGGGGGCAACGAGGTAAATCGATAATCAAACCTATATACACTGAAGTGTCACCAAAAGATTCCTAACCAGCCAGTTCCAGGTTCCCCTTGAAGTGAAGTGAGGAAAGGGGGTAATACTATAAGGAGGATTGGTTGCCAGTCTGCTTAAGAAGCAATCAGATCCCCAGATTCCCTTCCCAACTCCATGCAGTCAGGCAAACAAATGCCTCTCTCCTACTGAGGCAAAATACTGCAAACTTATTCTTTGCAGATGATGAAGCAGGAGGTCTCTCAGAGGTAAGGGAATTAAGTGAACATTTGTGTATTGGGTGCTGAGGCCTCCAGATACGTCTAACAATGAGGCTCCCAGATTCAGGGCAGCCAGTGTTTCAACTTCCAAGGAGAAGATCGAAGATCCTTCTATATGGACTCTGATCAACCCAAAAGGAAAGACCTGAAGATACTGATGTGGAAGGTTCCCTAACTATAAGCCCAAAGAAATTACTCTAAGGTAAGTTTACAACTGACAAATCCCCACCTGTATACTCAGAATTGCCTGTCAGCAGTTTGTTGCCTTATTCTTAAATATGAGCAGACGACCAAGGATTATCAGACACTTAAGAGAAGCCACTATCATGGGAGACATTTAGACATTTAGAATTGAAAATAGGAGAGTATAAGCTTAATAGAAGGATTGGA